TGGAGGGAGAGGCTCCCCAAACTACAGTCCACTCTGAACCTGTGGAAGGGGAAGACACTCTTGGTCATTACTTTGATTTTGCCCCCTTTGATCTTTCTCGCTTTGGTGTACCCTTTACCGGTTCCGATCGAGAGGGCCATCAACTGAGCTATTTTCTCGTTTATTTGGTCGTGCAAGACGGAACTCGTCAAGAGGTCCGTTCTTGTCCAGACTCTGGCAAGTGGCGGCCTCGGAGTTGCCCGTTTACGGAAAAGGCATGACACCTTTTTTGCATGTGGCTTCAGTGCCCTGCTGCGGGAAGATGGGTCCCCGTGGCGGTTCTTTGTGTTATATTGGGTTGCCTTGTCCCTCCGCGGAGTTCTTCCCCGTTCCGTCTGGAGGAATGACACCCCGCACCTACTGAAACCCGTTTCATATTACCGTTATTTTTGCAGGCTGGTCCTGCTTGCTTGTACCGTTTCGCCGGAGATTGACTGGGGACCGGTGAGGGTCCGCTAGTTGTACGACCTCTTCGTGAGTCGTCAAGACGCTCAATGTCCGGCTGTTTTTAACGTGCATTTTCGTCACGTTTTTAAACTTTGTCATTTTTCCAATTTGTGTAATTGTCTGCGTGACCTCAACTGGCGGGTTGTTGGGGGAGGGCGTTGAAAACTTCCCAGCACTTGCACTGGTGAGGCATGGGTAATACAGAGTGCCCCAGAGTCGGCTGTGCCGCTCCCGAGATGATCCACCACGTTTTTTGGGATTGTCCATTTGTGTACGTCTCGTGGGCTTGGGTCGAGCATGTCGGTTGCAAAACCCTTGTTCGCTATTTTTTGATCTCCCGTAACTGTGTCGTGTACGGATAGCTCTATGGTTAGATACAGGGCCCGACTCTCGGCTGGTCTGGTATTTGATTAGCACGGTCAATTAGTTGGTCTTGTGCTCCCGCAGCGAGACGCTGTACGACGACTCGCAGCCCGACGCAGAACACGTGCTCTTTCACGTGAAGGCGGCCGTCCGCATCAGACTGGATTTCGTTCGTCTGGATAGAGCTACATTTCTCGTCACCTGGTGTGTGCGGGGATCAGTCTGCGTTGTTTCTAACGACCGGATTATTTTCCGGATCTGAGTGAAGTTTGTCAAAGTGCCGTCCTCATTTCAGTAGTGTACCATTGTTGGTCCGGTATTTCTTTTTTTTTTTACAGAAGGGGAGGGTCGTACCCTCGCATGTGATGAGCATGGTAACGCGGCTACACCGTCTGTGGGTAACGTGCTTGTATGCACTTTTGGTGGGTTTTTTTTTTGTTTTTTTGTTAGGGGTAGGGGGCCCGAAGCCCAGGAACTAAGGTGTCGTGAGACTACCGTACCCCGGGCGTCTTTTCCCCCAAAGAGCCCGAAACTAAAAAATTAGTATATTTCACAACCTAATCGTTACGTTCAAATTCATCGGCATGACTTCAAATTCACTAAAGAAGTCTAGAGTACATCAATATTAAATGAAAATTAAGTCTATGGTTTTACAAAAAACGGAGTGGAACTTTTTCAACATTTGTCCATTGATTTGTCTGAGTTCCCGATGAAACGATTCAGTCCGGTGATCATGCACTTCATGCATGAACGATGATTAAGGCTTCCCCGATGCCTAAATAATGTACTTGCTAGAGTTGGGAGTCTACTTTTTGATTCATTGGCATGTTTTGATCAAGTTTGTTGGATACAATATTAGAACAACCACCCACAGATGTTTGACAATCATTGTCATTGTTTTTCAATATTTTTCCTACAGTATATCGAGTATGAAATGGAAAGTATAACATGCAGTCTCGTTGGCCTATGATCACTGGCGTATCCATGTTTTGGGTCCTATGATTCTCCAGAGACCTTGTTGACGTTTAAAGCCACTAGTTGTGAAAGTGGCCTGTACATAGTCATGAGCGAAGTCACAACAGGGAAATTCCGCCGAAAAGAAGGGCCGTTGCGATTTGAGTTATCGCTAGCTGAACATGGTCACTTGACTCTGTGTATGTAATGACGATGCAAATGGATAAGGATAATTAGACTGAAAACAAGAAACAGCTCAACAACCATTGCCCACCCTTGGACCTCGCTGTTAAATTGTTGTCCCCATATGCCCCATGCTATACCAAAGGGAACGTAACACCTCCAGCAGCGGTTTCCTCAGTGAAGAAGTCCACAGTATATATTGACTACCGCAGAGAAGTTCCACCTGCCAGCAGATTCTCGCATTGTCTTTGTCCAAGTCGAAAATAAACAGTGAAGTTCCGCTGCCAGGTATTACGGGGCCGAGCTTTCAAAATCACCCCCCCCCCTGGTTCGCACATGTGCCTAAACGCCATACGGTAGAAACGAGCCGATCTAGCGACGAGAACGGAAGTGGCTATTGAAACTCGCGGGAGAGTCGCGTTATTTCAAGCCATAGCCAGGGATAAATTATGCTAAGCTATCCTACAATTCAGTACTTATAGCCATGCTTTCTTATTTCATGCATGAATCCCTGACGTCTCCTGAACATCGAACATATAGGTGTTGGAACATTGAACATATTTTACTTCAAGATCGCACATAAAAAATGTCAAATACCGCATAAAAATGCCCCATGCACATGCAAACGTCAAACACTGAAAATATATGCAGAATGGCGCATAAATATATTGGACATTGCACACATTTTGCACATTGCAGATATAACGTAAATTATTGGACACATTTTTTAACATCGCGCAAAACACAAAACCTCAAATATTGGAACGTTTGTTGTGCCATAAAGCAGGCATTTCATACTCGTTTGTGAACCAGCAAAGTCAATTACCACTAAAGGAACTTCCATTACTACGAAAATTGCGCCCTCTCTTGGCCCCTCTTGGGACGGATAGCCAGCTTGACAACAATTTTGGATTTTTGCCCTGCCCGACGTGTATTACAACACTCGAACCCACTCGTATACGCTTCTGGGTTTTTTTCACAAGTCTTTGTGGGTAAACACTGAGTATACAGTTTTGTAATACATGCCCCGCAGGGCATAGAATCCAAAAATAATTAACATCTCCCCAGCGCAAATCGATCCTTGGAAATACTTGATAAAAATTCTTTGTACAAAATTACATGCAAAGTAAACATTCTGTTGCAGACTTTGGCCAATTCATGGATAGATGGTGAAAAACAATGCTATAAGAGGAAATGTTGGACTTTCCCACAACTCTATTTAGCCTTGAAGAAGGCGTGAACTTGCAATTGTACAGATTGGATAGCGTTAAACCAAAACCAGCAGGACAGTGTCCGTATCGTTTACAGTGACGTGGTTCAAGTTGTGTCTCGAAAATCAGGAATTTCCATGACGTACTGCCGGCAGATTTTCATAAAAGAGTAAGCAAGTAAGTCTGAGCACTTTCTGTGAACTGTACATAGACCTGAGTAATTTGTGCCGACTGTACTGAATTAGAATAGTATTTAATCAGAAAATAGAATTTAACCAACTATTACTACTAAATTATGAATGAGGATGCTTCAGCTGAGCGTCAGTAATTTGTCAGCACAGCCTTGGGAAACATGATTGCTTGCTCACCTTTCTTTTTAGGATGGCATGTTACAGAAACAAAAACCCAGCCAAAATCCTACTTGTTTGCAAAAAGTCATTCAAAAGACTGCACAGAAACAGAATTTTAGAGAAAGAAGAGTTCAACAGTCAAACACTTTATGCAAACTAAATATTTAGGGTGTAACCTTCATAGGTGCGAGGTAAACGACAAAGGAAGGTTGCGTTACAAAGAAAAGCTACTTCACCGTACAGTCAGTTCGACACTATTTTTTTTCTCATACCCCGCCAAACCTATACCTATTAACTCTGCCTTGTCTCTTGAGATTGACAAGTAATCAAGGCCTAGGAGTATGGAGTCGTTTTGGCCAAAATCGATTGACTAGGTCAACTGACAGCAATCAAAGGATACTTATTCAATATATTCCTCTGTAATTCTTGGGGTTATATTTACACATACTCAACGATTACGAAAGAACAATGAATAATCTTCACTAGGCACAATGCTGACAAGAAGCCGCACGCAGAACAGTGCGGCCCATAATCCGTATTCCAAACGCCGCACAGTGCAGTCAGTTAATGTTACCCATCTCTCTCAAAATAGGGTTTTCTGTCTTTCTTTTCTGACTGATTCTAAAACACATGCAATCGACTTGTGAAGTCAAGTCAATATAGAACTCACTAAAGCACTGACTGTGTCGTCATGTACTCAACTAAATGGCTAGGTTGATCAAACCATACCTGTTATATTAGGCCTACTTTGCGCACGGCTGAAATGGAACAGTGATCGTTCTCACCCGCCCCACGGAAAAACCTCCATTTATTACAAATACTATAATGGAAAATAATCCTTAAAACTGCCTTTTCAACGATAACTCAGTTTTAGGCTGTTCTTCCCAGCAAGGGCAGCTTGTACTTTGCAAACGTCGCATACTGCACATCGGTAGATTGGTCCTCTATCAGTATGAATGTGCACTGTGCCATGCCATCCGCTGGCACCCTAAAGCCGTGCTCGAAACCGGCGTTAGGTACAAGCTACGGATTTCTGTACTGTCAGCTTCCGTATTCCTAATAAAGCAATGGCCAAGGGTGAAACTTCTGAGTGGGCATTCAGTGGTGCAAACATACTTTCGAGGGAACTATTGTAAGCACATTAATCGTGATGAGAATACCGGATGACTACGTGTACATACGAAGATGTAACAGTGATTGTAAATTGTAAATTTTGTAAAATTGTAAATGATGTCTGCAACCTCGGGCTGTAGGGTATAATATGCACACGCCTCCTATCAACGTGCAAGGACTTCCAAGTGGACCCGTATCCATGTACATGTATGACAACAATGGTGTCCTGTTGAATACTGATTGAAATTAAGCCTCCTTCGTGGAGTTTATGTTTAATTTTGCCCGTTCACGACTAATGTAAATTCAAACATCTCCTGTGTTTTGTAAACTCTTCCTGCAGGGAGTAAGAACACACACACACACATACATCACAGCGACACGGCCAATTCTAGTCCCAAGAATTATCAAAGCATGGCCTACGAACACAACGACCATCAGCAACCTGCCGCTGTGGTGACTGCCTTACCCCCGGGAACTGTGTCCACTGAGGGCGTGAACCATGTCCATGGATCAAATCATGCGATTAGGTGTAGCGGACATTACCGTTACCTGATCGTAAAGATGTTCGGCTGGGGTGTAATGATGCTTATTTTCAGCATCGTGGTGGCTGCTCTTTATGTGGAGTTTCGTGAAACATATTCTATTATCATAGGGTGTTGTTTACTTGTCGTCGGTGTTATAATGATGATAATTGGCGGTACTGCATGCTGGAAAGAAAAAGAAGAGCGAAAGAAAATAGTCATGCCTTTCCAACAGATTGGAATGGTAACCACAATGTACGGCAATCAGGGACAAGGTAGCCCCCCACAACTACCTGGTCCCTATGGTAAGCCTTGGAAACCACCTATAGTCCAGCCAATTCCTATAGGACCATTGGTTGGCCATACACCGCCGAGAGATGTTACCAACTATCCACCTGAGTCTCTACCTAGAACGTCCTCGAAATATCAAGCGACTGGTCCGACACAGTAAGTTGTGCAACTGAGTGTTTTATTTTTGTAAATGTTATAGGCAGGCTTGGGAAACATCGACCAAGCAGTTAAAATAATGCCTGCAGAGCCTTTCTCTCAAGCAAGTACGTGCATTGTGTAACGAAACAAGGGTAAGCATTAATGCCAGTGTATTTTATTAATCATTAATGCCCACGTTGACCAATTAGCGGCACGTGCAGGTCTTGGCGCTTGTATGGTGGCCCTAGACGGACATCCCCAATAGTCAAATTGACGTCAGTATTTGAGACTAAATTTACGACCCGCTCTAAACTTCGGTCGCGAATATTAAGGCCAATATTTGCAAACGAATTCATGGGAGCCCCACGGGAGAACCAGCGTCAGTTGCTACGCACCATGGGAAATCAAAGCTGACGCTATGTTTAGCCATGGGAACACCATGACGCCTACTGTCATTGCACACCATGTAAAGCTAGTAACGTGGGGAGCCGTGGGATCACCATAGGGTTTGCAGCTAGTAAAATGGGGGTTATGGGGGTTAAGCTGATGACACCTCTTGTGTCTGGGGTAGCTGCTCATCCTTGCGCAAGATTAATCAGTATATCGTGGGGTTAGGCCAGGTCAAATTCTATCTCCAATCAGGCCGGTCTACGGGGTACATCAAAAAAAGGTGCACCGTAAGTTTCCGCCACAGTGGTTTGCCCATATTTGCAGAGAATAAATTCCTGCTTATATAATACTGCCACTTCAACGTTCGAGATTGATGGATTAAGCGTCTATTGGAAAAACCTAACTTCCGTTTGACTTCATCCTTAACTTTTAAGAAAGTTGGAAAACATGTGAAGACTGCAATAAGTCTCCTTTCATTGAAAAGCTTCATTATCACCTTTTTAAAATACATATACATTGTATACACCATAGATAATCCAAAACAAAAACGGGTTACCTTTCATTTTTATAGGAACTTTGACGCCGTGACACCAATCCCTTATGGTCGCCCAGCCATGCGGACTACGCTGTCCATGATACCTACGATTTCCGGTCAGAGGTTAATGCCGTCATCAGCTGGTGGCAAACAAAAGCCTCTCGGTCGCGATCAATCTCGAAAGCAACCGACCCCACAAGGACCATGGGTTGTCTACAAACCCTCGCAGGAAGTCAGTAACTATCGACCTGATTTTCATGCTAAGCCATTACCTTTGCGAGAAAGTCAGTGGCTTGAGATGGATCCCAAGCAGTAAGTTGTAGAAAGGACCGGTACCTATACATTGTTGCCACAATATGAAAAAACAGTATCAACATTTTTTATCACTATTTCTTATTTAGGACCTCTGTGATCATGCAATCGACCACTCATGGTGATCATGCAAATCAGACTTCACTGTCCGCAGTCCCACCAATTCCAAGGCAAAGGCCTCTGCCGTCACCACCTAGTACCCCGCCAAATCTTTTCACCCACAGTCAGCCAGGTAAACCACCTGTGGTCCGGCCATCGATACGACCATCTGAGGAAGTCAGCAACTCTCCACCTGAATCTGAAGCAGAGGAACAGTCTAAGTCTAGGTTATCGTTGGAATTACAGCAATCTCACAAAGATCCGTCACAGTAAGTCACGTGACAGAGTTGTTTTAGCATAACGCCATGTACAAAAACGGAGATTGTCAATAACGCATTTTTATGCGATGGACTGCATTTTTCATTGTAACAAAAACTTGTAAGGTACACAACGTCCTGAAAAATGTTAAGAAACATCATCCCCGTCTTGTAGGTTTTTCGCCCCCCATCCCCACCTTTGGGGTTCTGAAAAGAAAACTGTCACATTCCCTTTTCTAGAAACCATGAAGCCGTGGCATCGACCCCTTTTAGCCGTCAACGCAAGCGATCATCATTGTCCGTAGTCCCACCAAGGTCGGGTCAGAAACCCATGTTGTCCCCAACTGATATTTCAGCCAACCATTGTAGATTTGGTGAGCCTGAGCAGCTCTCCGTCATCATTCCAAGACCATCAATCGTCAACAGACAATCGGGAGAAGTCAACAACTCAGAGGCACCTCCTAGACCACCTCGCAAATATCAACAGACTGAACTGGATCCCACGCAGTGAGTTTATTGCGGAGTGGTTATATTTATTACATATCTAGTGACCACGTCCACGCTTTGTTTAAATGCTTATGTTTTAAGTATTGGTTAAAACGAGGCCATGGCATCATTTTAATTTTAATATTTAGCATTGAAACAATGCTTGTGCCCACCAATTACCGCACTGGATTTGAAATAAGGATCAAGATACCTAGAGCAATGACACGTGAGCTTACGATTTCATTTCATAGGGACTATGAGAACGTGGAACCAATCTCTCACAGTCGCCAAGCCGAACGAGCTTCCCTTTCTGTAGTCCCAACAAGATCGTTACCAATTTGTACTCCGCCAAAGCCTTTCAGCTACATTCAGCCTAACAAACCACCTTTGGTCAAGCCTACTCTACCAAGTCCATCCATCGGACCATCTGGGGACGTTAGTCACTATCAACGTGATTCTCGATCAAAATCATCTCGAAAGTACACTGAACAGTTGTTTTACGAGATATCATAGGTAAGGGTGGACAATAACAGTTTAACTAATGACTGTTAAAATTGAGATTTAATAGTCTGACTTTCTCTGTCGTGAAATACGCTTTGTCTACAGACTGCTATAATATTAACACAACAAAGTATAACTGAAGACTAGAATACTATAATACGGTACATTGTTACGTGCAGAAAATTCACAATAGCATAGTTATCAATATTATTTGTGTTTTAATACAATCTACTGAGGAGACTAAAGAAACACACAAACATCCCAAACCCAAGAATCAGCAGGGAAAATAATTCCGTTAATATTTTTCGATGCCAAATTACCTTTTATTTATTATAAGCTTTTGAAAAAGTAAAATTGCTTTGAGTTTAGCCTTTTATTGAAATACCTCTTTTCTTTTTTATAGGGAGTGTGAGTGCACCGACTTTCTTCGCTCCCTGCAAGCCACATGTAGGCAGCAAGTCAAGATATTCCCAACTACGACTAGCCACCAAGGCAAAGCAAATTGACTGATTCCAGTATGAATTCTGAGTGTTGGTGTATATATGCTCATTTGGTACGATTCAACTTCCTGTACAAGCATCATAGTAATTATCATCTTTGAAATATCTTGAAAGGATAATCTGAAAGAAGTAAACAGACTTAATGATATAATGAAAAGGTTACTTGACATAGACATGTTTCGCATAGGCTACAGTTTCTCCGCTTGGGGATTGGAGCTTTCATACAGCGCCAAAACATAGTCTCTTCAGAGTCACCGCAGTATTTTTTTTTGCTTAATCCTGGTCGTCAGGTCGACACTGTTTCGAAGAATTTTTAAATGAGGAAATTATAGCTTTGTTTGCAGTGCGTAGAGGAAAGTGTAGTATACCCTGAGCTGAAACCTAAGATTGTTTGTTGCGAAAAGTTGGCTGGATTTAGGTAAATGGAAATTGGAAACCGGACCTTTAAGTTTATGTGCATGTGTAGCGTTTCCCAGTTTTCCTCTTTGTATGCTATATTTTCATATAGATTACTTACTTCGTCACGTTAATTTTCAAAGTTAGCAGGACAATAGCATCATTGTTATCTACCATTTCAAATCTCTTAATTTTAGCAAAGTTAGTTTCAAACAAACGGAGCTTTTTTAAATTTTGAAATCCAGTGATCTTTAAAGCTAAAACATTATTAGCAGTAGTGTGTTTTTTTAAGCATTAGGGAACCACTCTCGGATTAAAGAACAGAAACTAAGATGATATCGCAGCGGACCCCTATCCCCAAAGGACAGAGTCACGTTTTCTTTACCTGCCCAGTGCATGGGCAAACGATGATGTCATGTCAAAGTAAACACGTCTTTTGTCCACTGAGATTGGCGTCGTTTCGGCTTTAATAATAAAGCTCATGATCGTGTGTTTTTAATGATTTAGTGAACAAACCTTTCGCTTTTTCTAAAAGGAAAAATATATTCCGTTGTGTAGATACCAGCGATTGTGGCCGAAAGCCTTTGTACAGAAATCTGTCTATGGAACTGGAAACTTGGGAAAAAGAGTAAACAGAGTTTCTTTACGGGTGATCTGGCCTTGATACCGATTTTGTTGTGATACCGATTGATTAATATAATTAATTAATTTTCCCTGGATTTTTTTGTTTAGGAAAATGTTATATTTAGTTCAACATTAAGTTCAAGATCATTTATATAAAGAGTTCTTTTAAGCTCTCTTTTAATAGGCTGTAAAAACAGTTTCTCGGTAGAATAGATCGCATAGCCTATAAGTCCTTTTAATCTGCCATTAACCAAATGAAAAAAGAAGGAAAGACTGTGGTAGCGGAGCAAGCAGAGCTTTAGTTGTAGGTCTGTTAGCCAATGAAAATAAGGAAATAAAAAAGACGTATACAATGAGTTTTAAGACGACACATACTTACTTCTTTAAACATAAATTATAGCCCAACTTGGCTAATAAGCCGGCAAGCAAATGCAAAAGCGAAGCAACTTTAGCACCAAGTAATGTTTTAAATTTATTTAACCCTTTAGCTAATTTGCAGCGCAGATACTGGATTTGACGTCACAAAATCGCGTTCGTGCACGAATCGGTCTTCAGACTGAGGTGAGAAAGCTTCAATGTGGTGAAGTACCTGGAGCAGCAAGAACAAGTGTTGAATGACAAAGTCACAGAGCATTTTCAGATTTGCCAGGAGTTTCTTGTGTTTATCTTAATTCATATATCTGAGTTTTAGGAACACAGCGGGTTAGCAAATTTCAGTCATTCGCAGCATGTATATGGTTACGTTTCTGCATCTTTTCAAGACGTTACCAATACGATAAAATCTGATTCATTGGTCAGATTTTGGTATAAAAAGAATAATTCACAATGTGTGCAATTATGAATAAGAAAACAAGAAGTCTTTCTGTAGACATAGCCACAAACTTTGGTCATTTTACTATATGTGGCTAGCAACTTGGGTATCAAACTCAGGCACCAACCTAGAAACCTAGGTACCAACGGTCAATAGAGAATAATTATGTGTAAAAAGCAAAGGCGCGAGAACCACTGAGCGTGTGAACCATGCGCGTGGATTCTCCATTCATTTGTACATAGGACATGATGTCTTTGGTGCGTACGACATTTACTGCATATGACGTCGCACTTTGGTACTCTATCCTGTTCTTGACTTCGTCGCACACACGCATGCACCACCGAATGCAAGGTTTTCATTGGATGAGCACTCAAGTTGCACGTTAACTTCCGGTTCCATGGTTCCTAATTGTATCTCTATGAGCATGCATTCATACTAACAAACTGCAACAAGAAACGTGCAGCAAAAATTATATCGAACAGGAATTATGATACTCCGTATGTTGACCTTGTACACGACCTAAATGCCTTTGAACAAAAGATTTATTAAAACAAAATGAACTACAAACAAAGACTAATGTGTGCGCATACCTCAACAAGAAGTATTTTAGTCATCATAATGTGTCGGGAACCGAAATCTGGGCTGTCGACTCATCCTGCATGCGACACATTACATCGATATCTATTCTTCAGGCACCCACAAAGGCCCCAAAACATAGCTCCAAGCACCTTTTGACTCGGAGGGTTAATTCTATATGAATTGTTTGAGCACCCACAAAGACTCAAAGAGTCCATAGTTCCGAGCACCATTTAACTTGGATTGCCATGTTTATCATTATTCACTGTTTGGGCTTCCACCACGGCCAAAGAGCACTAACAGCTTCAAGCACCATTTGACTCAATGACAATAATGACCTTATGATAGGCTGAAGCGACAGAACGCTTCAAAATTTCACCACGCTGTAATAATTATTATGTACATATGCAAAGTCAACAAATCAGTTTACAGACACCATTCTTAGTTCTTTTGCACTTACAAAAGAAAGAATGGTTTATTCTCCCCTGTTGCACCTGCTCAAGGGAAGACTCACTTACAGCATCCATTAGACACTAGCTACTCCATCCAGTCCATAAACCAAGGTGGTGTTTATCAGCTTTAACGAAATAGCCACACGTGCAAGGCACGGCCCAAGGAAGAAAAACACCCCAACCCCCCTTCATAAACCATTACCTTACCAAAGGCAGTAAGAATTTCTTAATGGCAATGCAAAAGCTCCCTCTGCAAGTTGCAATCGCTTCCGGAGATAAAAAATTGAAAAAAGTTGAAAAACGTCCTGTGAAATTGGTTGCTAATTATCGAAAAGGCACCAAGGCAATGGCAACGAGAGTGCGCCCACCTGTGGACAGCTCTCGTCTGCCTGTCCGTTGCTTCCTGGGGGTTAACCCCAAAGTAAAATCTCCTGGCCAGGAATTCGGACCAGAGCAAAAATGCTTTGGGGTAAAGCAGGTATGCATAAAAATAACGACTCTTGGTCGCATTGAAAAGTACGGGGCTCTGGAAGTGCCATCCGACTTGTTGAAATCCTGACATATATTTTCTTGGGATAAGGGTATAGTAAAGACAAGATGTTGACATCCTGAGAAAATTCATCAAGGGATGATGAAGACGTGAAAGTGGAATGATGACATCCTTAAATAATTTTTCATTGAATGACGACATCCTAAAGGTTGGATGGCGACATTATGAGATAATCATTATCTCAGGATGACGTCATCCAGAGACATCCAGCAAACGTAATGTCTACTTCACTGCATGTAACAAGCGGTGGGTCATCATTATGTTTTATCAATCCAATTGATATCATGTATGGCAATAGAAAAACAATGCTTTATAAAACAAAAGAACCTCAGGCCACCTGTGTGTTTTCAAAGTGGTTTGTCATTTTTCCACTTTTACAATGTCAACATCCATGACAAATTATCTTAGGAAGTCATCATACAGCTTTTATAATGTGGTCATTCTGTAATAATTTATCTCGGAATGTTTCATCAAACTTTTAGGATGTCGTCGTTCCATCATAATTTATCTCGGGTTGTCATCATGCCGTGAGTAATTGTCTCAGGGTGTCGACATCTTACCTCTACATACAATATTGTCATCTCAAGAAATAGTACGTCAGTACTTGTAGTACTCAACAAGTTGGATGGCACTTCCAGAGCTCAGCAGAAAAGAAATAAACTTGACCCAAACCATCAGTACCTAAATAAACCAGATTATCGAGGTTGGAGGGCCTTCATGTCACGAATAAATCTGGAAGGTCACATATACTGGCGCCATTCTTGCAATGCCAAAGTACCGGACTAGAGTACTCACTTGCTCATTTCATAGTTCACTTGCTCATTTCATTGCTCATTTTATCAACGAATTGGGAAAGTGTAACGTAATGAGCAAACGAGAGCTTCTATGTATGTTTGCAACAGAGCGTAGGACTTTATTGCTTTTCATTGAAAATGCCATCGTCGTGATTGTATATCAACGTTTCATCCCACTGAGATGTGTACTTGTGGAGATATAAGGCTTTAGGATGCACCTTTAATGTCAAGTGACTTTAATATAGATTTGAACCCGATCTCACATCTACTTCAGGAGATATTGGGCTTTAAAAAGTGCACGTTTATTGTCACCTGACTTGTCTCCTGATGACATGATCATCACATAATGTCAATATACCTCTGAAGCACTCCCTTTTCAAGATATCTGCAAGATTTGAATACGATCAGACATGTATTTCAGGAGATATTGGTCTTTAAGAGTGCACCTTTGATGTCACGTGACTTGTCTCCTGATGACGGTATCATCACACGAGGTCAATATTCCTCTAAAGCACTCCCTGTTTAAGATAATTGCAAGATTTGAACCGGATCGGACATCTACTTCAGGAGATACAGGGCTTTAAAGACTGCACATTTAGGGTCAAGTGACTTGTTACCTGATGACGTCATCATCCCACTTTAACAATATTCCTCTAAAGCACTCCTTGTTTAAGATAATTGCAAGATTTGACTCGGATCGGAATCTACTTCGGGAGATATAGGGCCTTAAAGACTGCACATTTAATGTCACGTGACATGTCTCCTGGTGACGTCATCATCACATGAGGTCAATATTCGTCTAAAGCACTCCCTTCCCAAGATATCTGGAAGATTTCAACCCGATCGGACACCTACTTCAGGAGATATAGGGCCTTGCAGTGCACACCTTTAATGTCACCTGACGTCTCCTGATAATACTTTCGGAGATACGAGCCTTAAAATGTGCAACTTTAATGTCGCATGACTTGTCTCCTGATGACATCATCATCACATAAGGTCAATATACCTCTAAAGCACCCCCTTTTCATGATATCTGCAAGATTTGAACACGATCAAACATGCACTTTGGGAGATATGGGGCCTTAAAGAGTGCACCCTTAATGTCACGTGACTTGTCTCCTGATGACGTCATTGTCACATAACGTCAAAGTTCCTCAAAAGCACTCCCTTTCAAGATATCTGCAACATTTGAACCAAACTGGATATACACTTGGAGATATTGTACTTTAAATGGTGTACCTTTAACGTCACGTGACTCGTCTGCTGATGGCATTGCCATCACATGAGGTCAATTTCCGTTTCTAAACCTTCGCTTCCTAACTACCTGCAATGTTTCAACCCAATGAGATATGTACAATACAATATATAATACAAAACATTATACTTACTGCTGAAAAGGCACAGAGTAGATTTTAAACATTTGTCCCTTTTGGCGTTCCATTCAATGCGATCTGCTCTCAGCAGCACGTGGTCCCGAGTCCCGAGTATAATGTATTACGCACTGTGGGCCGTCTATGTTGCAGGCAGATATTGGGCGTCCATACACAGAGTATCATATGCACAGCATGCTGATGGGATTTCGAGTTGGTAATTTTTAGGGGGGGTTTCACGTGTGTGAAAAAGTACATCAACTACGCACTTCACGCAGCTGACTCCAATGTTTTAGCTGTCATCTTGTGCACAGTTGACGCTTTTATCGCTTACGGTTGATTTTTTTTACCGAATTTTGAAGAATAAAGGAGTTTTTATTTTAACTTCCGGTCTGATGACGTCATCAGCCCCAAACTTCACACACATGCTGACTGAGTAAAGATGATCATCTACATCAATTTCCAGGCGATTCGCCACAGACATCTATTCAAAATGCATTTTTCGTAATTTTTTACCTGTCGCTAGAGGGGGCTCGACAATAAGGTGACGTCATCTGTGGATGATTTGAAGAATACTATGCCCCAACAGACTAACACCGTTGAAAACAACTTGATACTTATTACCACTATTAAACAATACCACCACTTCCGTTTCGACCGGAAGGAAGGGCCACGTGACCACATTTTATCCTGCCACTTACTTCAAACAGAATGTTGCGGGAGGCCACAGTTGATTTTATATGGATTTTTATAAATTTAACGGAATATTTAAATATTCAAAATTTGA